TTGTTGTTGTTGTTGTTGTTGTTGTTGTTGTTGTTGTTGTTGTTGTTGTTGTTGTTGTTGTTGTTGTTGTTGTTGTTGTTGTTGTTGCTCGCGGAGTAAATTATAACGCCGCCAAAGCGTGCTATTTGACTTTGGAATGAAAATTTGACAGTCGATCGAACAGAACGCGATGCCTTAAGAGCGAGCAACTGGTGCATGGTTGGATTGAGCCTATTTCCCCTGCCCGTCGTGTTCGTTGCAGGCATTTCCGTTTCTGTTGTTGTTTTTGTTATTGTGGTTGTTGTTAATTCATAGGAAATGGTGACAAACCGGTCTCATTCATTCATAAATTCATAATCCCCCCAGCTCACAACGACTGAATGGCTCGCAGTTTCCCACCTTTGCTCATCTTTTTTTCCTTTGGTCTTGCACGGTTCGTCTACCATCTCCATGCAGGCGCGGCCGGGACGCTCTACGGCCGCGAAAAGGGGGGCGACGGCAGATCCCTCTCTTGGAACAAGGGGCTTCTATTCGCCCCGCCGACACCTCGGCGCAGTGGACCGACCCCGCTGTCGAAGAACCCCTCAGGGCAGAGCCAACAACGTGCTCCAGCTGTGAAGAGCTCAGAGAGCTTTCGCTGTTCTTCTACGGTGGGGGGACGCGCAGAGTGGTGGTACTGGACCACATGGTTGGCGGCGAAAGTGGCGGAGTGAGATGCAACAAGTACGCCAACAAACCCCGTGGCGTGTTCATGTCTAGCGACGAGAAGGTGAAAACGATCACCAAGGATGGCCTCCTCAAGGCAGTCAGGAAGAGGCGAAGAGGGTGGCCAAAAAGGCGTCGGGGGGAAATTAGTTCAGTAGGGTGGCCGGTGTTGCCCTGTCGACAGTTGAGACAGATGGGTCGCGCGTTTTGATCGCCGGTAGCCTGGTCGAGAGTTGGTCACGACGATGTGTCCACACTTTGGTGGCGTGTCATAGACGGGGGCTGGCCACAGCCTTCCTGGGTAGACGGGAGACCATTCAGTTTTGTCTGTTCCCTCGGGCGATTGAAACGACGCGGTTTGTCACCGGGCAACATCACCTTTTTTGGCGTACTTGTATATTGGATGTTGGTGGTGTGAAGTGTGAATTAAGCAAGGAAAATAGTCGGCAGTGCGTATTGCCGTAGAACCATCCGCCCCGTCATTTCTGCTCCGGAGGTGTGGCAGAGAGAGATAGTTTTTTTCGTTTTCCATCATCCTTTCCTCCGTTGTGTATGTAGCTTTAGTCAGCAGATCCGGCGTTTATATATCCTCACTCGGAGGTGGTTTTGAAAGT